GCCCCCTCCTATCAGGGTGAGACTGAGATTCCCTGCCCCCTCCTATCAGGGTGTGACTGAGATTCCCTGTCCCCTCCTATCAGGGTGAAACTGAGATTCCCTGCCCCCCTCCTATCAGGGTGAGACTGAGATTCCCTGTCCCCTCCTATCAGGGTGAGACTGAGATTCCCTGTCCCCTCCTATCAGGGTGAGACTGAGATTCCCTGTCCCCTCCTATCAGGGTGTGACTGAGATTCCCTGCCCCCTCCTATCAGGGTGAGACTGAGATTCCCTGCCCTCTCCTATCAGAGTGTGACTGAGATTCCCTGCCCTCTCCTATCAGGGTGAGACTGAGATTCCCTGCCCCCTCCTATCAGGGTGAGACTGAGATTCCTTGCCCCCTCCTATCAGGGTGAGACTGAGATTCCCTGTCCCCTCCTATCAGGGTGAGACTGAGATTCCCTGCCCCCCTCCTATCAGAGTGAGACTGAGATTCCCTGTCCCCTCCTATCAGAGTGAGACTGAGATTCCCTGCCCCCTCCTATCAGGGTGTGACTGAGATTCCCTGCCCCCTCCTATCAGGGTGAGACTGAGATTCCCTGCCCCCTCCTATCAGGGTGTGACTGAGATTCCCTGCCCTCTCCTATCAGGGTGAGACTGAGATTCCCTGCCCCCTCCTATCAGGGTGAAACTGAGATTCCCTGCCCCCTCCTATCAGGGTGAAACTGAGATTCCCTGTCCCCTCCTATCAGGGTGAGACTGGGATTCCCTGCCCCCTCCTATCAGGGTGAGACTGAGATTCCCTGCCCCCTCCTATCAGAGTGTGACTGAGATTCCCTGCCCCCTCCTATCAGGGTGAGACTGAGATTCCCTGCCCTCTCCTATCAGAGTGTGACTGAGATTCCCTGTCCCCTCCTATCAGGGTGAGACTGAGATTCCCTGTCCCCCTCCTATCTGAGTGAGACTGAGATTCCCTTCCCCCTCCTATCAGAGTGAAACTGAGATTCCTTGCCCCCTCCTATCAGGGTGAGACTGAGATTCCCTGTCCCCTCCTATCAGGGTGTGACTGAGATTCCCTGTCCCCTCCTATCAGGGTGAGACTGAGATTCCCTGCCCCCCTCCTATCAGGGTGATCTAGGCTCAGTATGAACAACTAGAGTATGGTGGGACAAACAATTCCTCATATAATTACAAATTCATTATTGTAATGGAATCAGTTGAAAGCTTTGTTACTGGATCTCCAGACAAGATAAAAAAGACAAAAAGAGAGGAAAACAACTCTTCCAAACCTTGTCAAGTCTTTTATGTAATGAGGATACAAAGTCTGTACTGTTAGATGAGAAAGTTTTAAAGAAAAATAGGAAAACAAATATAACTCAGTAAATGATGAATAAAACTGCCCTACAGAAAACTTTTATTTCATACTCACTAGTTTCATTGAATTTGAGTTTGGATTATGATTATGGTGACTTGTTGGTAGTTTCTTGTTGTTTTCATACAAAATGGTGAAAAATGAACAAGATATCTTGATAGGTTAAAAAGCTGAAATAAACAAACAACAAAAACTCATCCAAGAATCGGTGAATGGAAATGCCATTCAGGAAAACACATAATTTTCATGTCACCGTTGTAAAGCCTTTTGAATGGGAAAGATATCTGTTGAAAACTGAGGTACTGAAGGAGGACTCTAGATGAGATTAAAATGCTGAAAGAAACAATGGGCCTAACCTCCTTCATAATTCGTTGATCACAATGCTGTTCAGGAAAGCACAATTTTATGTCACAACAACATCTACCAAGTATGAAGAAAAGATCAATATTAAAACAGAGACAGAAAATTTTTAGATTTTGAGAACAAAGGGCAGTAACTCTTCCAAAAACTATTAAACTGTCGTTCAGGAAAAGAAAATGTCATTGAAAGTAAGCTTACAGCAGTAACTCAATCAGACCAAACCGTTGTTCAGGAAAAGAACATTGAGAGTAAGCTTACCAAACCTAAAAAAAAATTGATTGTAAACTTAATCAATAGATCTTCAGACACTATTTAATAAGATTATGAAAAGGAAAAAGGTTATAGACTTTTAACTAAACAGTATAATCAATGTTCATAACTTCATGTCATAGAGACTGAGCTAAATATGCAACACCATAATACTCCTGTCAAAGTTTTTGATAATTTGGCAGAGCTTATGAAAACTTCACAGGACAACTTTTGTAAATAGTTATTAGATTCAATAAAATTTCATTTCAAGAATAAGAACTAGTATTAAAAATGTATTAATTAAAAACCAGTTATGATATTGTATATATACAAGGTAACAATAAACAGCCTTTGTACATGCTAGTGATTGAGGAAGACTTTTTAGATTTCTCAGGAATATAAAAGCATAGCATCAAAAAATGTTGACACATCAGGGAGAAACAGGGTTTATTTAACATGGTATTAAAAATTTGGTTTTTCGGAATGCAACTTGAAGAAATCACAACATCACAAAATATCTTGTGTAAATACATAGGCCATACTAACGATATATAAACAACAGGTTTGTGATTCAACAAATTATATAAGTAAAACTATCTACATTATAAAATGAACCACTTTTCAGAACAGATCTTGGGTAAATTATGTTGGAATGATCCACATTTATACATTTTAAATTGTCTCCCCTGGTTGATGAAGAAACACCTTGTCAAATAAAAAACCTCACCAAACTCTCATTTGAGTAAACTTTACATAAAAACCCAGCCAAATCTTGTTTTGTCAGTCTGTAAGCAACTTTAAATAGACCTGTTCAGAGACCATCTTTCTTTAGATACTTCTTTGTAAGAGGCCACCTCTGACTAGAGACCACCTTTGTTAAGAGGCCACCTCTGATTAGAGACCACCTTTGTTAAGAGGCCACCTCTGATTAGAGACCACCTTTGTTAAGAGGCCACCTCTGATTAGAGACCACCTCTGATTTGAGACCACCTTTGTTAAGAGGCCACCTCTGATTATAGACCACCTTTGTTAAGATACCACATCTGTTTTCAGAATACATCTGTTAATTTTCATCAAGCTAGTACTTTTGAAATCAGTTTTAAAAGGAATCAAACACAAATATGAACACAAGCGATCCCACCATTGTGTAATGTTGTTTGGCCCCAGCTTTTCTCTAATTGGTTCCAATAACATCTAAGAATCATTGAGAACCTACATATGAAATCTGGTCTGGTAATGATAAACTTTGTGGTGATGGCTGGCCATTTTCAATTTCCATTCAGTCCCAAAATTGACAAAGCACAACTAGGAACTAAGGGATACTATTCCAGAACCTTTCCAGAAGTAGGGGTAACAAAAAATGTTTACAGATGACCAAGAGACCGTGCATGAAGGGTGATTTGAACAGCTCACCATGGTAGGCTAAATGAAAGATGAAAGAAGAATGAAACAAACACCCAAACATTTACTTGTCACCAACAGATGAGAGGATGCATGTGTAAAACATTTACTTGTCACCAACAGATGAGAGGATGCATGTGTAAAACATTTACTTGTCACCAACAGATGAGAGGATGCATGTGTAAAAAAAATTATGATTATTTTAAGAAAAGCAACAATTTGAAGATGAACACAGTCGTGATTAAATGAAAGTATCAATCACAAATTGATCAGATCACAAGCCAGTCGTTCTAACAATCTCTCACACAAATATAAAACTATTCAAATCTACAGTAGAAAATGTTAACAAGCTGGAATGTAGAAGTGGGACCCAATCAGTTACTGGGAACAATGGGAACAAGTAGATTAACAGTTTAAATTATTGTCAAGGTGAACAAACATTACCAAAACCATGATTCAATTTAGTGAACAACCTGTGAACGTAACCAACAAGTCAATTTAGTGAACAACAAGTTACATCAACCAACAAGTCAATTTAGTGAACAACCAGTTACCGTAACCAACATGTCAATTTAGTGAACAACCAGTTACATCAACCAACAAGTCAATTTAGTGAACAACCAGTTACATCAACCAACAAGTCAATTTAGTGAACAACCAGTTACATCAACCAACAAGTCAATTTAGTGAACAACCAGTTACATCAACCAACAAGTCAATTTAGTGAACAACAAGTTACATCAACCAACAAGTCAATCTAGTGAACAACCTGTTACATCAACCAACAAGTCAATTTAGTGAACAACCAGTTACATCATCCAACATGTCAATTTAGTGAACAACCAATTACATCAACCAACAAGTCAATTTAGTGAACAACCAGTTACATCAACCAACAAGTCAATTTAGTGAACAACCAGTTACATCAACCAACAAGTCAATTTAGTGAACAACCAGTTACATCAGCCAACAAGTCAATTTAGTGAACAACCAGTTACATCAACCAAAAAGTCTATTTAGTGAACAACCAGTTACATCAACCAACAAGTCAATTTAGTGAACAACCAGTTACATCAACCAACAAGTCAATTTAGTGAACAACCAGTTACATCAACCAAAAAGTCAATTTAGTGAACAACCTGTTACATCAACCAACATGTTAATTTAGTGAACAACCTGTTACATCAACCAACAGGTCAATTTAGTGAACAACCAGTTACATCAACCAACATGTCAATTTAGTGAACAACCAGCTACATCAACCAACAAGTCAATTTAGTGAACAACCAGGGTGAATGCGAGTAATTAGTTACACTGAACAACATGCTACTATAACCATTTACTGGAAACAGCCAGTAGCATTGAACCATAAGTTACATTGAACAACTAGTTACCTTGAACAACTAGTTACCTTGAACAACTAGTTACCTTGAATAACTAGTTACCTTGAACAATTAGTTACCTTGAACAACTAGTTAAATACAAAATGAATAACTCATTTCCATGAATGAAAGTGATTAAAGTTCCCACAGTGTTTCTAATTATATAAACATCAGAAATACATAATATTCCAAGCCAAATTATGATAATTTCTGGTGACATACTCATGACAAAACATTATGTACAAAGCTTTTATCAATCATAATGGTGAGATTTGAAGTGAAAGACACTCCTCCGTTGGAATTTTGGTTTCCAGCATTTTCAGTTCAACGTTGTCAGAATCGGTAGCATCTTGGCGGCGTAATGTAGGTCTTTTAGTCCTCGAGTCAGCAAGTGGTTTTTTTGATGGCACAAATTCACCACGGAAAATTTCTGTGTTTGAATTCTGGGAGGATATAGAATAGAATGCGCTGGAGGAAGCCTGCACAGGACCATTACTGGGATGGCCACCATTAGTCAGGTGACTAGTTGGTACTCGCACGTTGTTATTTTCCTCATGTCTACTTGCTGCATGTACACCATTTGTCACAGATGTATTAGAGGTGACATTTCTATTCATTAATGATACCTCGCCTTGGTCAGACGCAGAATCAGCCGAGGACACACTGACACTGTCGATACTTGGAATTTGGAGGTGTGCTAGTGCTACTCTCTGGGTGGTAATGTGACCTTTTGCTGCCAAATTTTTGCCGTCCAGTGGTGGCAGGATGTCAAAGCCAGGATGGAAATTCATTTGTGAAGATTTGGTCATAAGGTTGGTGAACTCATCATTATTGAATAGGTTGCCATGGAGACCAGACATGTCAACATGATAGCCTCTGTTTACCTGACCACCTTTAGAAGCAGGACCAGTTATCACAATTTTTGGTTTGTCTTCTTGCATAATGTCCAGAACAGTCACCACAAAGGAATAACAAAACACATACTCTACCTGTAAAATTGAAAAAAGGCACCATATGAGAGATGTTCAGGTCTGATATTAAAGAAAGTCACATTGTACTCCTAAGTATTCACTAGAATGTTTTAATAAATTATTTGGACTAATGGACTGGAAGTGCCAAAAGCGAATGTATTTCTGGGGTTGTGCTGATGTAAAGATCACCCCCCCCCCCCCCCCCAAATTGGTGGGACATCAAAAACTAAATCCAGCAAGTTAATTCCTTGAGAAGTAGGATCACACATCAGACTTAACTAATATATATACATACATTATACTGTTGAGATTGCTCACATGAAAATCAGTCAAATTTCTAATGAGCTCCGACAATGTATGTTACAAATAATTAAGTCCAATTTTCTTACCACTGATGGAACATGTCACAACGAATTTCTCAATTACATTTGAAATTCAAAACTTCAACAACAAATTTTGCCATATCTAGATAATTTTCAGACTATAATTACTTCAAAGCATTTGTTCATTGAAAAATCAATATAAAGGGAGTGTGCTGGTATGAGACTATAGTAGATATGATGTATGTTACATTTATCAATCCTGTCTGTTTCTCTGGTATAATGGTAGATATGATGTATGTTACATTTATCAATACTGTCTGTTTCTCTGGTATGTAGAGATATGATGTATGTTACATTTATCAATCAATGATCCTGTCTGTTTCTCTGGTATAATGGTAGATATGATGTATGTTACATTTATCAATCCTGTCTGTTTCTCTGGTATGATAGTAGATATGATGGTATGTTACATTTATCAATCCTGTCTGTTTCTCTGGTATGATGGTAGATATGATGTATGTTACATTTATCAATCCTGTCTGTTTCTCTGGTATGAGACAGTAGTAGATATGATGTATGTTACATTTATCAATCCTGTCTGTTTCTCTGGTATGATGGATATGATGTATGTTACATTTATCAATGTATGTTACATTTATCAATCCTGTCTGTTTCTCTGGTATGAGACAGTAGTAGATATGATGTATGTTACATTTATCAATCCTGTCTGTTTCTCTGGTATGATAGTAGATATGATGTATGTTACATTTATCAATCCTGTCTGTTTCTCTGGTATGATAGTAGATATGATGTATGTTACATTTATCAATCCTGTCTGTTTCTCTGGTATGAGACAGTAGTAGATATGATGTATGTTACATTTATCAATCCTGTCTGTTTCTCTGGTATGAGACAGTAGTAGATATGATGGTATGTTACATTTATCAATCCTGTCTGTTTCTCTGGTATGATGGTAGATATGATGTATGTTACATTTATCAATCCTGTCTGTTTCTCTGGTATGATGGTAGATATGATGTATGTTACATTTATCAATCCTGTCTGTTTCTCTGGTATGATAGTAGATATGATGTATGTTACATTTATCAATCCTGTCTGTTTCTCTGGTATGAGACAGTAGTAGATATGATGTATGTTACATTTATCAATCCTGTCTGTTTCTCTGGTATGAGACAGTAGTAGATATGATGTATGTTACATTTATCAATCCTGTCTGTTTCTCTGGTATGATAGTAGTAGATATGATGTATGTTACATTTATCAATCCTGTCTGTTTCTCTGGTATGAGACAGTAGTAGATATGATGTATGTTACATTTATCAATCCTGTCTGTTTCTCTGGTATGATGGTAGATATGATGTATGTTACATTTATCAATCCTGTCTGTTTCTCTGGTATGATGGTAGATATGATGTATGTTACATTTATCAATCCTGTCTGTTTCTCTGGTATGATGGTAGATATGATATATGTTACATTTATCAATCCTGTCTGTTTCTCTGGTATGATAGTAGATATGATATATGTTACATTTATCAATCCTGTCTGTTTCTCTGGTATGATAGTAGATATGATGTATGTTACATTTATCAATCCTGTCTGTTTCTCTGGTATGATGGTAGATATGATGTATGTTACATTTATCAATCCTGTCTGTTTCTCTGGTATGAGACAGTAGTAGATATGATATATGTTACATTTATCAATCCTGTCTGTTTCTCTGGTATGAGACAGTAGTAGATATGATATATGTTACATTTATCAATCCTGTCTGTTTCTCTGGTATGAGACAGTAGTAGATATGATATATGTTACATTTATCAATCCTGTCTGTTTCTCTGGTATGATGGTAGATATGATGTATGTTACATTTATCAATCCTGTCTGTTTCTCTGGTATGATAGTAGATATGATGTATGTTACATTTATCAATCCTGTCTGTTTCTCTGGTATGATGGTAGATATGATGTATGTTGCATTTATCAATCCTGTCTGTTTCTCTGGTATGATGGTAGATATGATGTATGTTACATTTATCAATCCTGTCTGTTTCTCTGGTATGAGACAGTAGTAGATATGATGTATGTTACATTTATCAATCCTGTCTGTTTCTCTGGTATGATGGTAGATATGATATATGTTACATTTATCAATCCTGTCTGTTTCTCTGGTATGATGGTAGATATGATATATGTTACATTTATCAATCCTGTCTGTTTCTCTGGTATGAGACAGTAGTAGATATGATGTATGTTACATTTATCAATCCTGTCTGTTTCTCTGGTATGATAGTAGATATGATGTATGTTACATTTATCAATCCTGTCTGTTTCTCTGGTATGATGGTAGATATGATGTATGTTACATTTATCAATCCTGTCTGTTTCTCTGGTATGATGGTAGATATGATATATGTTACATTTATCAATCCTGTCTGTTTCTCTGGTATGATAGTAGATATGATGTATGTTACATTTATCAATCCTGTCTGTTTCTCTGGTATGAGACAGTAGTAGATATGATGGTATGTTACATTTATCAATCCTGTCTGTTTCTCTGGTATGATGGTAGATATGATGTATGTTACATTTATCAATCCTGTCTGTTTCTCTCAAGTTTAATCTATTGTGTGTGACCTATTTAATCAACATCGATTGAGATCCAACAGTCATGAGGTTAAGCAAGACTTTAGAACTTGCAAACTGCTGTCTAGCACATGAACAACTCCATAGCAAAGATTATTTATTCTGGGCATTTATAGACCTGTAATGTGGATTTAACAAACAGGTCTTTAATTGTCTTCTTAAAGCCATTATTATCAGTGTTCTTAAGAGTCAGCAATAGACTCGTCTTGATAAAGAAAAGTGAGTGGGGAAGGGTAACATTTATGAACCCAAATTTGATCAAAATTTGGATCTCCTTTCTCTTAGGAGCATAATAGATATTGGACCAGGTCTGGTTTTCATCTGTGTATTGGTTATTATACACAAGTGAAAAGTGAACATAGAAGCCTTGTGTACAGTAGACAGATGGAAGACATCCTGACCTAAAAACACAATTTGCATTATACTTACAACATTTGGCACCAAGTCTGGACGATTTTTTTTGACAATTCGCACAGCACCAAACACATCAACTTCACTCTCGGCCTTCAGCTGGTCCAGGCAGATATTGGTCACACAGTATACACCACATCGTGTGTATCCGTCCCTAATAAGTATAAACAACACATGTACCTCTCCCTAATAAGTATAAACAACACATGTAACTCTCCCTAATAAGTATAAACAACACAGGTACATCTCCCTAATAAGTATAAACAACACAGGTACCTCTCCCTAATAAGTATAAACAACACATGTACCTCTCCCTAATAAGTATAAACAACACAGGTACCTCTCCCTAATAAGTATAAACAACACAGGTACCTCTCCCTAATAAGCATAAACAACACATGTACCTCTCCCTAATAAGTATAAACAACACAGGTACCTCTCCCTAATAAGTAACTCTCTCCCTAATAAGTATAAACAACACATGTAACTCTCCCTAATAAGTATAAACAACACATGTACCTCTCCCTAATAAGTATAAACAACACAGGTACCTCTCCCTAATAAGTATAAACAACACAGGTACCTCTCCCTAATAAGTATAAACAACACAGGTACCTCTCCCTAATAAGTATAAACAACACAGGTACCTCTCCCTAATAAGCATAAACAACACATGTAACTCTCCCTAATAAGTATAAACAACACAGGTACCTCTCCCTAATAAGTATAAACAACACAGGTACCTCTCCCTAATAAGTATAAACAACACATGTACCTCTCCCTAATAAGTATAAACAACACAGGTACCTCTCCCTAATAAGCATAAACAACACATGTACCTCTCCCTAATAAGTATAAACAACACATGTACCTCTCCCTAATAAGTATAAACAACACATGTACCTGTCCCTAATAAGTATAAACAACACAGGTACCTCTCCCTAATAAGTATAAACAACACAGGTACCTCTCCCTAATAAGTATAAACAACACAGGTACCTGTCCCTAATAAGTATAAACAACACATGTACCTCTCCCTAATAAGTATAAACAACACATGTACCTGTCCCTAATAAGTATAAACAACACATGTAACTCTCCCTAATAAGTATAAGCAACACATGTACCTGTCCCTAATAAGTATAAACAACACAGGTACCTCTCCCTAATAAGTATAAACAACACATGTACCTTTTCTAATAAGTATAAACAACACACTTACCTCTCCCTAATAAGTATAAACAACACATGTACCCTTTCCTTATAAGTGTAAATTAACACATTTTTCCATCCCAAGTAATTACAAAAATGTACCCCCGTCTTAACAAGATGTGTTTATGAAAGAGTATGCCAAGGTGGTAACAAAATTTTTGAGTAGGACATTAAAACTGTTAATGCATACTTTGATAAACACTTTTGTCTCTATTATGGTAATAATTTAATTCAAATGTAGGTCAAAGGTCACAGTCAAGGTCACATGGTAAAAATGGTTGGTACTCACTTAGACATGATACAGAGGGGACTCAGAGGGTTGGTACTCACTTAGACATGATACAGAGGGGACTCAGAGGGTTGGTACTCACTTAGACATGATACAGAGGGGACTCAGAGGGTTGGTACTCACTTAGACATGATACAGACAGAACTCAGAGGATTGGTACTCACTTAGACATGATACAGAGGGGACTCAGAGGGTTGGTACTCACTTAGACATGATACAGAGGGGACTCAGAGGGTTGACTCAGTTAGACATGATACAGAGGGGACTCAGAGGGTTGGTACTCACTTAGACATGATACAGAGGGGACTCAGAGGGTTGGTACTCACTTAGACATGATACAGAGGGGACTCAGAGGGTTGGTACTCACTTAGACATGATACAGACAGGGCTCAGAGAGTTGGTACTCACTTAGATATGATACAGAGGGGACTCAGAGATACAGAGGGGACTCAGAGGGTTGATACTCACTTAGACATGATACAGAGGGGACTCAGAGGGTTGGTACTCACTTAGACATGATACAGAGGGGACTCAGAGGGTTGGTACTCACTTAGAAATGATACAGAGGGGACTCAGATGGTTGACTCAGTTAGACATGATACAGAGGGGACTCAGAGGGTTGGTACTCACTTAGACATGATACAGAGGGGACTCAGAGGGTTGGTACTCACTTAGACATGATACAGAGGGGACTCAGAGGGTTGGTACTCACTTAGACATGATACAGAGGGGACTCAGAGGGTCGGTACTCACTTAGACATGATACAGACAGGGCTCAGAGAGTTGGTACTCACTTAGACATGATACAGAGGGGACTCAGAGGGTTGGTACTCACTTAGACATGATACAGAGGGGACTCAGAGGGTTGGTACTCACTTAGACATGATACAGAGGGGACTCAGAGGGTTGGTACTCACTTAGACATGATACAGAGGGGACTCAGAGGGTTGACTCACTTAGACATGATACAGACAGGGCTCAGAGAGTTGGTACTCACTTAGACATGATACATAGGGGACTCAGAGGGTTGGTACTCACTTAGACATGATACAGACTGGGCTCAATGGGTTGGTACGCTGTTGCCATTCCTCCACACAACCCATCAGATAGATCATAGACTTTGAGGTATGTGGGGTCTTCTCTTTGGCAGGCCAGCAGGTCAGATGGAAAGTTTTCACCACAGTATATTCAGCCAAGATGTCAGACATACAGGTGAGATTCTGTAATGATCAGACACATGATTCAACCTCTGTCTCCATGTGTCAAATATTACATTGCAATACAGCAATACAACTTTTCCCTAACAGGCTATAGAAAGGATTATAATTAGGTCATCTTCACCTGTATAACACTGCTCACTATTAATGTTCAGCAATATTCAAACATCATTAAATAATCTTCATCTTCAAAATTCTAGTAAGAAATTTAATTAAACTTTTCTTTAGAAAACAGTCTAAATGAGTGGATCATAAAAATCCTCTTACCTTCCTCACAGCGAAAGCTCTGATAACAATGTTTGGAAATTTCTGACAGCCAAGATATCGAACTCCAATCGGGCCATACTTATGCTCCACATCCAGGTCAGAGGGCCAGAAGCAAGGATGACTCTGAGAAAACGATAGGGACATGTCAGCAGATAAATAGAATACTAGAGGTTAGTGGGTTAGTATAAATAACCGATACCAGAGGTTAGTGGGATAACATAAATACACTGACACTAGAGGTTAGTGGGATAACATAAATACACTGACACTAGAGGTTGGTGGGTTAGTATAAATAACCGATACCAGAGGTTAGTGGGTTAACATAAATCACTGATACGAGATGTTAGTGGGTTAGCATAAATAACTGATACTAGAGGTTAGTGGGTTAACATAAATTACTGATACTAGATGTTAGTGGGTTAGTATAAATAACCGATACCAGAGGTTAGTGGGTTAGTATAAATTACTGATACTAGAGGTTAGTGGGTTAGCATAAATTACTGATACTGGAGGTTAGTGGGTTAGCATAAATTACTGATACTAGATGTTAGTGGGATAGTATAAATAACCGATACCAGAGGTTAGTGGGTTAGTATGAATTACTGATACTAGAGGTTAGTGGGTTAGCATAAATTACTGATACTAGATGTTAGTGGATTAGTATAAATAACCGATACCAGAGGTTAGTGGGTTAACATAAATTACTGACACTAGAGGTTAGTGGGTTAGCATAAATTACTGATACTGGAGGTTAGTGGGTTAGCATAAATTACTGATAATGATGTTTAGTGGGTTATCATAGAAATTTGAAACTAAGGGTGAGTGGGTTAGCATACATAACTGATACTAAAGGTTTGTGAGTATGAATATCTCTGATACTATGGACAGATAATATAAGATCACCAACTCTTGTAACCAGGTAGGCCAATAGTATGCATACCTGGGTTTAGGAGTTTCATATTTTAGTTATTTACTACTCTTAAGAGACCTTTGTATACAACTCCACATACTTATAAAGTAAGCAGGATGTGCATGGGTTCTTTGGAAATTTCTCCAACTGGAGACTTTCTTGTCTGCTTTGATACTAAGGGCTAACGGGTGAACAGAATATCTCTAACACCAGGGGTTAGTAGATACCATATATTTCCCTAATACCAGGGGTTAGTAGATACCATATATTTCCCTTAAACCAGGGGTTAGTAGATACCATATATTTCCCTTAAACCAGGGGTTAGTAGATACCATATATTTCCCTTATACCAGGGGTTAGTAGATACCATATATTTCCCTAATACCAGGGGTTAGTAGATACCATATATTTCCCTTAAACCAGGGGTTAGTAGATACCATATATTTCCCTTAAACTAGGGGTTAGTAGATACCATATATTTCCCTTAAACCAGGGGTTAGTAGATACCATATATTTCCCTTAAACTAGGGGTTAGTAGATACCATATATTTCCCTTAAACCAGGGGTTAGTAGATACCATATATTTCCCTTAAACCAGGGGTTAGTAGATACCATATATTTCCCTTAAACCAGGGGTTAGTAGATACCATATATTTCCCTTAAACTAGGGGTTAGTAGATACCATATATTTCCCTTAAACCAGGGGTTAGTAGATACCATATATTTCCCTTAAACCAGGGGTTAGTAGATACCATATATTTCCCTTAAACCAGGGGTTAGTAGATATATTTCCCTTAAACCAGGGGTTAGTAGATACCATATATTTCCCTTAAACCAGGGGTTAGTAGATACCATATATTTCCCTTAAACCAGGGGTTAGTAGATACCATATATTTCCCTTAAACTAGGGGTTAGTTGGTTAGCTTTAATGCATCACATTAGAGGTTGGTATGTTTACAGATTTAATATGTATAACTGTGAACCTGAGGTTAGTGGTGATATTATTACTTACCACACTTTCACTGTTAAATAGTAAAGAAAATGTCTTACCCGGGAATATTTGATGTCGTTGAGAACCACTAGGGACATGATCTTGTAGTCGTAAATTAGACGCCATATGTCGTTGATTGTATTTTGCAAAGGCCACTGTGTGACTAGGAAGTTATTCTCCTGATAGTAACCCTATAAAGGTAAAAAAGTTACAAAAATAGTTACAGACTGACCAATCACAGTTGTCAGGGTAACAGGTACAGATAAAGACTGACCAATCACAGTGGGCAGGTTTACAAGTACAGATTCAGACTGACCAATCACAGTGGGCAGGGTAACAGGTACAGATACAGACTGACCAATCACAGTGGGCAGGGTAACAGGTACAGATAAAGACTGACCAATCACAGTGGGCAGGGTAACAGGTACAGATTCAGACTGAACAATCACAGTAGGCAGGGTAACAGACTGACCAATCACAGTGTCAGGGTAATTGGTACAGATACAGACTGACCAATCACAGTGGGCAGGGTAACAGACTGACCAATCACAGTGGGCAGGGTTATAGGTACAGATATAGACTGACCAATCACAGTGGGCAGGGTAACAGGTACAGATACAGACTGACCAATCACAGTGGGCAGGGTAACAGGTACAGATTCAGACTGAACAATCATAGTAGGCAGGGTAACAGACTGACCAATCACAGTGGGCAGGGTAACAGGTACAGATAAAGACTGACCAATCACAGTGGGCAGGGTATCAGGTACAGATACAGACCGACCAATCACAGTGGGCAGGGTAACAGGTACAGATACAGACTGACCAATCACAGTGGGAAGTCTAACAGGTACAGATTCAGACTGACCAATCACAGTGAGCAGGGCAAGAGAAACAGATTCTGACCAATCACAGTGGCCAATACAACAATGCATATCCTTCAAACATCAAGTGCAAATGTATGCATAATCACCAAACAAACCAGCAGAATTAAAGTTATTGTATAGAAAAGGATGACCAATAAATATGTACTGCACAAACACCTGGCCACTTATGTATATATAATGAATACCTTTCTTCGAAGACCAACTCTACATCACAGATACCTGTCTATAAAGGCCACTATTACAAAAAGTATCAGCTTGAAGACCAACACATTTAAACAAATACCTGTTTATAAAGGCCACATCTATTTAAAAAAACAATCTGTTTTGATGACCAACACTATGAAACAAATACCTGTTTATAAAGGCCACCTCTATTTCAAAAAAAGACCAAGGCTATTTAACAAATACCTGTTTATAAAGGCCACCTCTATTTCAAAAAAAGACCAAGGCTATTTAACAAATACCTGTCTATACAGGCCACCTCTATTTAAAAAAAACCAATGCTATTAAACAAATACCTGTCTATACAGGCCACATCTATTAAAAAAAAAACCAAGGCTATTTAACAAATGACTGTTTATAAAGGCCACTAATACAAAAAATACCTGTTCTGAAGACCAATGCTATTTAACAAATACCTGTTTATATGGGCTACTTCTAAATATCAACTCCTCTAAACTATTCAAGACTTTGAAACATCAATTATTCTACCAGTAAAAGTTAAAACATGTATTCAGTGTGAAGGTAATATACATGCAATATCTAATCAAGGAACCAAGGCTCCACTATCACTGAGCATGATACACATTTTTAATACTTACATCAATGAACACAGCATTTATGAAGTCTGTGCCGTTATCACTTGACTCTGATGTCAGTAGATACGGCCTTGCTCGTTCAGCTGAAACAATAAAAACACACCTCTGTTGTAATTGAATTTTATTAAAAGTTTGCTGACATGGCATCAGATCTGACTGTTTGTTCATTAAATGCTTACAGATCAGTTTGGTGGAATTTGACTAAATTTGGAGCCAATTGTAAAACAATGCCATCATGGAGGAGAGAAGGATACTGAGAAAGGATCTTGTACAACAACATACTACTAATACTGCCTATTCCCACTTTCAGATCTGCTCATCTGCAGCTGTATACCACTTTATACTGCTTTCTCCCCTGTAAAGACCCCCTCAACTACAGGCCTATAACACATATACAGGTTAACGACATCCACTGACCTTTAACCTTGACCGATGACCACCATACTCTATGCATGTGTACACTACTTCATATTGTGTTATAAGGTGTGGCTATGAACTAAGCCTGTCTTGAGCTTATGAGATATCTTGTACACAATCTTCGCAAGCAAAACAGGACACATGCACAGACCCACAGACCTATAGGGCCTGTATCACTCACCAGGTTTCAAAAACAGTTCACTGAAATTGATCTATTTTATCTAAAGGAAAAGTATATAAAATATTTGTATCTATTAACTTGTAAATGGCTTGAATCTCCTCCAAAATGGGGTTAGATGCAGCTAAATTTTCTTCACCAAGAATGTCGTCAGTTCCAGCATAATAAAGACTCTATTTCATTGATCCACTTTTCTGAAACATGTCTCACACCAAAATGGGACAGAATCCAGGCACTCCTACTGAAGAAGAATAATCTTGAAGAATTTGCCTAGTCCATCTGTTGGGCCCCATTACCCCTGTCATACCAGGCTGAGATTCACCGTTTACACAAAATTGACTCCTCTTCACCCAAGCATGCATTAGGCCAAATTGGGACAACATCCAAAAATTCACTCTCTTTCTTCTTTTGGGCTGCCCATATGCCCCATAGGGCAGAAACCAGAAGTTTATACAAAATTCATCATCTTCATCAAAGACCAAATATGGGCAAAATCCATTCATTTCTACAGGAGTGGGATTTTAAGGAATTGACTCTAATTCCCCTATTGGGCATTGACCCTCTGACCCCAGTGGTTTGAGACCCTTGGTTTATACAAAACCGATTTCCTTTCACTCAAACATGCTTCAGACCAATTTTGGACAATATCCTGCAATTCCTAGATAGATTTAAATGAAATTGATAGATTTTTACTATTGGGCCCTGCTCCCTTTGGCTCTAGGGGGCTGTTTATACCAAATTGATTTTCCTTTCACCCACGCAAGCTTCAGACCCTATTTGGACAATATGCTGCAATTCTTAAAGAACCAGATAGATTTTACAGAAATTGATTGATTCTCCCTATTGGGCCCCATCCCTCTGACCCCAGGGGGACCTAGACCTACCATTTTCACAAAATTGGTTCCCATTCACAAAGGATGCTTCAGAACAAATTTGATTAACATCTGCTCAGTTGTTCATGACTAGTTACAATTTATAGGATAAGCTGATGGATGACTGATCAAGTGGTATCCTTAGAACTCATTTGGCCTTTCGGGCCAGGTAAGCTAACAAGTCAATCCCTCCCCTTAACTAAATGGGGATATAATGATGTGGTCCTGATTTTATAGATAATCCAAGTGCTGTGTTTTATACAGATGTAGATGTTTATACAGATGTTTATACAGATGTTTATACAGATGTAGATGTTAATACAGATGTTTATACAGATGTTTATACAGATGTAGATGTTTATACAGATGTTTATACAGATGTTTATACAGATGTAGATGTTTATACAGATGTTTATACAGATGTAGATGTTTATACAGATGTTTATAGATGTTTATATCAGATGTAGATGTTTATACAGATGTAGATGTTTATACAGATGTTTATACAGATGTTTATACAGATGTTTATACAGATGTTTATACAGATGTTTATACAGATGTTTATACAGATGTTTATACAGATGTTTATACAGATGTTTATACAGATTGTAGATGTTTATATCAGATGTAGATGTTTATACAGATGTTTATACAGATGTAGATGTTTATATCAGATGTAGATGTTTATACAGATGTTTATACAGATGTTTATACAGATGTTTATACAGATGTAGATGTTTATACAGATGTTTATACAGATGTTTATACAGATGTAGATGTTTATACAGATGTTTATACAGATGTAGATGTTTATACAGATGTTTATACAGATGTAGATGTTTATACAGATGTTTATACAGATGTTTATACAGATGTAGATGTTTATACAGATGTTTATACAGATGTTTATACAAATGTAGATGTTTATACAGATGTTTATACAGATGTTTATACAGATGTAGATGTTTATACAGATGTTTATACAGATGTAGATGTTTATACAGATGTTTATACAGATGTAGATGTTTATACAGATGTAGATGTTTATACAGATGTTTATACAGATGTAGATGTTTATACAGATGTAGATGTTTATACAGATGTTTATACAGATGTTTATACAGATGTAGATGTAGATGTTTATACAATTGTAGATGTTTATATCAGATGTAGATGTTTATACAGATGTTTATACAGATGTAGATGTTTATACAGATGTAGATGTTTATACAGATGTTTATACAGATGTAGATGTAAGGCTAAATCTGATGAAACTTACGAGGAAGTAACATTATATCACGACTTTTTGTTCGATTTTCTGATCGATGACCTCCAGCACAGTCTCCTATACTCAGCCGTGTTGCAATGTTTTTAATTATCTGAAAAACAGAATCATTTTATGACTTTCTCTATTATATCATAGGTGATAGTGTAAAATATAAAGGGACAAATTAGCTGTAAGTGAATCTGACTCAAAATATTTATTATCAGATTTCACTCGCTGAACATATTGTCAGTACTTCAGTTTTTATCACATGATTTCCGTGATAAATCTTCATTGAGAATAAGGAATTAAGTTAGCACTCTTACAAATGAGAATCACTTCCTTTTACTTAATCCAGTTTTTTATCCACTCACACTCAAACAATTATACCTTATTGTGACATCTCCACCCTGTTGTCCACCCACACCCACTCAATTATACCTTATTGTGACATCTCCACCCTGTTGTCCACCCACACCCACTCAATTATACCTTATTGTGACATCTCCACCCTGTTGTCCACCCACACCCACTCAATTATACCTTATTGTGACATCTCCACCCTGTTGTCCACCCACACCCACTCAATTATACCTTATTGTGACATCTCCACCCTGTTGTCCACCCACACCCACTCAATTATACCTTATTGTGATATCTCCTCCCTGTTGTCCACCCACACCTATTCAATCATTTCCGACTGTGACAACACCACCTTGTTGTCAGCCCACACCCACTTAAATACACCCTACTTTGACACTCTTAATGCACTTACTTGGTGTTCTTTTTCAAATCCATGCAACCGTGTGCGAGGATCCTTTAGTGCGAGGCGTTGGACCATGGCTGGGAGTTGTGCAGATGGTACCACAGTAGTTCCACATTGGATATGCATAGCTGCAGCTTCATAGATAAGGCGATACTGGTACTACAAGGAACACAGTAAACTGGCCTGAGCATATAAAGACGAAAATGTCAATCAGCCCCTGAAAGTTACTTTTACAAGATCTGACTATTTCTGATACAGTAGTAATTGAAGTTTACAGTTACAGGGAGACTATCAAGATGTTAATACAAAATGCCAAAAGCCCTGTTGACAACCAAAGAAATGTATCAAACTTTTAATGTTGCAGATATTTTACGAGGAATGCAATGTATTCCTGTCTTTAGCAGACTATGTTGACTGTAACTGATGACTGTGGTTCACTAGGTGCATACAATATAGCTACATACTAAATTAGACACTGTCAAAGCAAGAAGTATGCCCCACAAGTCACCGGGGACAAGTTTGGAACTTTCTGTTTGTGTCCTGCTTACAGAATCCATATATGAAATTGATAAAGATCCATCAAGTACTTCTTAAGAAACAAGATTCCATTGTCAATATATAAGATGGCCACCTTTCAACAAATTTTGTTTTCCTGGCCGATGGACGTAGGGCAATTTGAATAGGTCAGTATCTGATCATGCAATGACGGACTGAACAGAAATATTAATGGTGACGAAAAAAAAGGATTCAGAACAAAAACATTCATTCCCGGATGGCTCCCTCATGGAGTATTAAATGTATAAGATTTCAGTGAAATTGGCCAAAGAGTTGTCAGGACAACAAATTATGCAATATTTCAACAAACAGGCACCAATCCAGGTGTGCAGCTACCTTTATGTAAACACCCAGTAAATATCATCACATAGTGTTTAACTATTCTAATTTCTTTAATTAGTTGTTTTCCTTCTCCACGAATTCTCCCATTGCTGTGTATCATCTCAAAGACAAACATCACACTTCTGTTGATATATTGAATCTCTTTCAATGCTTTTTGGGGGCTTTTTTCAACCTCAACCCTCCTTCAGCCGAATTGCAGAATGGATTGGGAACAACAACAAATTATGCTTACCAGTGTACGGACCATATTTTTCCTAAACTTTCGCAAATGAAGGACTGTGCTGTATATATCGATACATCCTTCTTTTTGCAGCTGTTTGAGGCAGCAGTCCAGGGCAATAAATACAGCAGTCTTACCTCCTCCACACCTGACAAAATAACACAGTTACCTGTAACATGTCTGATATACCTACACACTGACAAAATAACACAGCTACCTGTAACATGTCTGAAATACCTACACACTGACAAAATAACACAGCTACCTGTAACAGGTCTGAAATACCTACACACTGACAAAATAACACAGCTACCTGTAACATGTCTGAAATAGCTACACACTGACAAAATAACACAGCTACCTGTAACAGGTCTGAAATAGCTACACACTGACAAAATAACACAGCTACCTGTAACATGTCTGAAATACCTACACACTGACAAAATAACACAGCTACCTGTAACAGGTCTGAAATACCTACACACTGACAAAATAACACAGCTACCTGTAACATGTCTGAAATACCTACACACTGACAAAATAACACAGCTACCTGTAACAGGTCTGAAATACCTACACACTGACAAAATAACACAGCTACCTGTAACATGTCTGAAATACCTACACACTGACAAAATAACACAGCTACCTGTAACAGGTCTGAAATACCTACACACTGACAAAATAACACAGCTACCTGTAACAGGTCTGAAATACCTACACACTGACAAAATAACACAGCTACATGTAACAGGTCTGAAATAGCTACAAACTGACAAAATAACACAGCTACATGTAACAGGTCTGAAATACCTACACACTGACAAAATAACACAGCTACCTGTAACAGGTCTGAAATACCTACACACTGACAAAATAACACAGCTACCTGTAACATGACAGTGACAAACATCAAAAGGACAAGAGCAAAGACACAAATATTTCATTTCAGATCAATTAAGGTCTACATCAAACAGAACCATCCTTACAATGAAAGCAATAAGACACCAATCCAGTGACAGGATCTCCTTACCATTTCTCACCTGCAGTGGATAAGAATGGGCCCAGTGACAGGATCTCCTAACCATCACTCACCTGCAGTGGACAAGAATGGGCCCAGTGACCCCAAGCATATATGTGTTTACACGGCGGACACAGTCTAGGAGAAATCCAGGGTCAGTAGCCTCATCGTTAAATCCAATCATTTCAAAATGTTTGATACTTCTTTCTTCTGTTGCACCATCCTGTAACCAATTTAAAATATGTAAACATACATCTGGTCATGTCATAACTGTAGCATGTCTACATGTGTCTGACCATGTCATAACTGTAGCATGTCAACATGTGTCTGGTCATGTCATAACTGTAGCATGTCAACATGTGTCTGACCATGTCATAACTGTAGCATGTCTACATGTGTCTGACCATGTCATAACTGTAGCATGTCAACATGTGTCTGGTCATGTCATAACTGTAGCATGTCTACATGTGTCTGGTCATGTCATAACTGTAGCATGTCAACATGTGTCTGACCATGTCATAACTGTAGCATGTCTACATGTGTCTGGTCATGTCATAACTGTAGCATGTCTACATGTGTCTGGTCATGTCATTACTGTAGCATGTCTACATGTGTCTGGTCATGTCATATTCTACATGTGTCTGGTCATGTCATAACTGTAGCATGTCTACATGTGTCTGGTCATGTCATAACTGTAGCATGTCAACATGTGTCTGGTCATGTCATAACTGTAGCATGTCTACATGTGTCTGGTCATGTCATAACTGTAGCATGTCTACATGTGTCTGGTCATGTCATTACTGTAGCATGTCTACATGTGTCTGACCATGTCATTACTGTAGCATGTCTACATGTGTCTGACCATGTCATTACTGTAGCATGTCTACACATGTCTGGTCATGTCATAACTGTATCATGTCAACATGTGTCTGGTCATGTCATTACTGTAGCATGTCTACATGTGTCTGACCATGTCATTACTGTAGCATGTCTACACATGTCTGGTCATGTCATAACTGTATCATGTCAACATGTGTCTGGTCATGTCATTACTGTAGCATGTCTACATGTGTCTGGTCATGTCATAACTGTAGCATGTCTACATGTGTCTGGTCATGTCATAACTGTAGCATGTCTACATGTGTCTGGTCATGTCATAACTGTAGCATGTCTACATGTGTCTGACCATGTCATTACTGTAGCATGTCTACATGTGTCTGGTCATGTCATAACTGTAGCATGTCTACATGTGTCTGGTCATGTCATAACTGTAGCATGTCTACATGTGTCTGGTCATGTCATAACTGTAGCATGTCTACATGTGTCTGGTCATGTCATAACTGTAGCATGTCAACATGTGTCTGGTCATGTCATTACTGTAGCATGTCTACATGTGTCTGGTCATGTCATTACTGTAGCATGTCTACATGTGTCTGGTCATGTCATAACTGTAGCATGTCAACATGTGTCTGGTCATGTCATTACTGTAGCATGTCTACATGTGTCTGGTCATGTCATTACTGTAGCATGTCTACATGTGTCTGACCATGTCATATTCTACATGTGTCTGACCATGTCATTACTGTAGCATGTCAACATGTGTCTGACCATGTCATTACTGTAGCATGTCTACATGTGTCTGACCATGTCATAACTGTAGCATGTCTACATGTGTCTGGTCATGTCATTACTGTAGCATGTCTACATGTGTCTGACCATGTCATAACTGTAGCATGTCTACATGTGTCTGGTCATGTCATTACTGTAGCATGTCTACATGTGTCTGACCATGTCATAACTGTAGCATGTCTACATGTGTCTGGTCATGTCATTACTGTAGCATGTCAACATGTGTCTGGTCATGTCATATTCTACATGTGTCTGGTCATGTCATTACTGTAGCATGTCTACATGTGTCTGACCATGTCATAACTGTAGCATGTCAACATGTGTCTGGTCATGTCATTACTGTAGCATGTCTACATGTGTCTGACCATGTCATAACTGTAGCATGTCTACATGTGTCTGACCATGTCATAACTGTAGCATGTCTACATGTGTCTGGTCATGTCATTACTGTAGCATGTCTACATGTGTCTGACCATGTCATATTCTACATGTGTCTGGTCATGTCATTACTGTAGCATGTCTACATGTGTCTGACCATGTCATAACTGTATCATGTCAACATGTGTCTGGTCATGTCATTACTGTAGCATGTCTACATGTGTCTGGTCATGTCATAACTGTAGCATGTCAACATGTGTCTGGTCATGTCATAACTGTAGCATGTCTACATGTGTCTGACCATGTCATAACTGTAGCATGTCTACATGTGTCTGACCATGTCATAACTGTAGCATGTCTACATGTGTCTGACCATGTCATAACTGTAGCATGTCTACATGTGTCTGACCATGTCATAACTGTAGCATGTCTACATGTGTCTGACCATGTCATAACTGTAGCATGTCTACATGTGTCTGACCATGTCATAACTGTAGCATGTCTACATGTGTCTGACCATGTCATAACTGTATCATGTCAACATGTGTCTGACCATGTCATAACTGTAGCATGTCTACATGTGTCTGGTCATGTCATAACTGTAGCATGTCTACATGTGTCTGACCATGTCATATTCTACATGTGTCTGACCATGTCATAACTGTATCATGTCAACATGTGTCTGGTCATGTCATTACTGTAGCATGTCTACATGTGTCTGACCATGTCATTACTGTAGCATGTCTACACATGTCTGGTCATGTCATAACTGTATCATGTCAACATGTGTCTGGTCATGTCATTACTGTAGCATGTCTACATGTGTCTGGTCATGTCATAACTGTAGCATGTCTACATGTGTCTGGTCATGTCATAACTGTAGCATGTCTACATGTGTCTGGTCATGTCATAACTGTAGCATGTCTACATGTGTCTGACCATGTCATTACTGTAGCATGTCTACATGTGTCTGGTCATGTCATAACTGTAGCATGTCTACATGTGTCTGGTCATGTCATAACTGTAGCATGTCTACATGTGTCTGGTCATGTCATAACTGTAGCATGTCTACATGTGTCTGGTCATGTCATAACTGTAGCATGTCAACATGTGTCTGGTCATGTCATTACTGTAGCATGTCTACATGTGTCTGGTCATGTCATTACTGTAGCATGTCTACATGTGTCTGGTCATGTCATAACTGTAGCATGTCAACATGTGTCTGGTCATGTCATTACTGTAGCATGTCTACATGTGTCTGGTCATGTCATTACTGTAGCATGTCTACATGTGTCTGACCATGTCATATTCTACATGTGTCTGGTCATGTCATTACTGTAGCATGTCTACATGTGTCTGACCATGTCATATTCTACATGTGTCTGGTCATGTCATTACTGTAGCATGTCTACATGTGTCTGACCATGTCATAACTGTATCATGTCAACATGTGTCTGGTCATGTCATTACTGTAGCATGTCTACATGTGTCTGGTCATGTCATAACTGTAGCATGTCAACATGTGTCTGGTCATGTCATAACTGTAGCATGTCTACATGTGTCTGACCATGTCATAACTGTAGCATGTCTACATGTGTCTGACCATGTCATAACTGTAGCATGTCTACATGTGTCTGACCATGTCATAACTGTAGCATGTCTACATGTGTCTGACCATGTCATAACTGTAGCATGTCTACATGTGTCTGACCATGTCATAACTGTAGCATGTCTACATGTGTCTGACCATGTCATAACTGTAGCATGTCTACATGTGTCTGACCATGTCATAACTGTATCATGTCAACATGTGTCTGACCATGTCATAACTGTAGCATGTCTACATGTGTCTGGTCATGTCATAACTGTAGCATGTCTACATGTGTCTGACCATGTCATATTCTACATGTGTCTGACCATGTCATAACTGTATCATGTCAACATGTGTCTGGTCATGTCATTACTGTAGCATGTCTACATGTGTCTGACCATGTCATTACTGTAGCATGTCTACACATGTCTGGTCATGTCATAACTGTATCATGTCAACATGTGTCTGGTCATGTCATTACTGTAGCATGTCTACATGTGTCTGGTCATGTCATAACTGTAGCATGTCTACATGTGTCTGGTCATGTCATAACTGTAGCATGTCTACATGTGTCTGGTCATGTCATAACTGTAGCATGTCTACATGTGTCTGACCATGTCATTACTGTAGCATGTCTACATGTGTCTGGTCATGTCATAACTGTAGCATGTCTACATGTGTCTGGTCATGTCATAACTGTAGCATGTCTACATGTGTCTGGTCATGTCATAACTGTAGCATGTCTACATGTGTGTCTGGTCATGTCATAACTGTAGCATGTCAACATGTGTCTGGTCATGTCATTACTGTAGCATGTCTACATGTGTCTGGTCATGTCATTACTGTAGCATGTCTACATGTGTCTGATCATGTCATAACTGTAGCATGTCAACATGTGTCTGGTCATGTCATTACTGTAGCATGTCTACATGTGTCTGGTCATGTCATTACTGTAGCATGTCTACATGTGTCTGACCATGTCATATTCTACATGTGTCTGACCATGTCATTACTGTAGCATGTCAACATGTGTCTGACCATGTCATTACTGTAGCATGTCTACATGTGTCTGACCATGTCATAACTGTAGCATGTCTACATGTGTCTGGTCATGTCATTACTGTAGCATGTCTACATGTGTCTGACCATGTCATAACTGTAGCATGTCTACATGTGTCTGGTCATGTCATTACTGTAGCATGTCTACATGTGTCTGACCATGTCATAACTGTAGCATGTCTACATGTGTCTGGTCATGTCATTACTGTAGCATGTCAACATGTGTCTGGTCATGTCATATTCTACATGTGTCTGGTCATGTCATTACTGTAGCATGTCTACATGTGTCTGACCATGTCATAACTGTATCATGTCAACATGTGTCTGGTCATGTCATTACTGTAGCATGTCTACATGTGTCTGACCATGTCATAACTGTAGCATGTCTACATGTGTCTGACCATGTCATAACTGTAGCATGTCTACATGTGTCTGGTCATGTCATTACTGTAGCATGTCTACATGTGTCTGACCATGTCATATTCTACATGTGTCTGGTCATGTCATTACTGTAGCATGTCTACATGTGTCTGACCATGTCATAACTGTATCATGTCAACATGTGTCTGGTCATGTCATTACTGTAGCATGTCTACATGTGTCTGGTCATGTCATAACTGTAGCATGTCAACATGTGTCTGGTCATGTCATAACTGTAGCATGTCTACATGTGTCTGACCATGTCATAACTGTAGCATGTCTACATGTGTCTGACCATGTCATAACTGTAGCATGTCTACATGTGTCTGACCATGTCATAACTGTAGCATGTCTACATGTGTCTGACCATGTCATAACTGTAGCATGTCTACATGTGTCTGACCATGTCATAACTGTAGCATGTCTACATGTGTCTGACCATGTCATAACTGTAGCATGTCTACATGTGTCTGACCATGTCATAACTGTATCATGTCAACATGTGTCTGACCATGTCATAACTGTAGCATGTCTACATGTGTCTGGTCATGTCATAACTGTAGCATGTCTACATGTGTCTGACCATGTCATATTCTACATGTGTCTGACCATGTCATAACTGTATCATGTCAACATGTGTCTGGTCATGTCATTACTGTAGCATGTCAACATGTGTCTGGTCATGTCATAACTGTAGCATGTCTACATGTGTCTGGTCATGTCATAACTGTAGCATGTCTACATGTGTCTGGTCATGTCATAACTGTAGCATGTCTACATGTGTCTGGTCATGTCATTACTGTAGCATGTCTACATGTGTCTGGTCATGTCATTACTGTAGCATGTCAACATGTGTCTGGTCATGTCATTACTGTAGCATGTCTACATGTGTCTGGTCATGTCATTACTGTAGCATGTCTACATGTGTCTGACCATGTCATTACTGTAGCATGTCTACATGTGTCTGGTCATGTCATTACTGTAGCATGTCTACATGTGTCTGACCATGTCATAACTGTATCATGTCAACATGTGTCTGGTCATGTCATTACTGTAGCATGTCAACATGTGTCTGGTCATGTCATTACTGTAGCATGTCTACATGTGTCTGGTCATGTCATAACTGTAGCATGTCTACATGTGTCTGACCATGTCATAACTGTAGCATGTCTACATGTGTTTGACCATGTCATAACTGTAGCATGTCTACATGTGTCTGGTCATGTCATAACTGTAGCATGTCTACACATGTCTGGTCATGTCATAACTGTAGCATGTCTACATGTGTCTGGTCATGTCATTACTGTAGCATGTCTACATGTGTCTGACCATGTCATATTCTACATGTGTCTGGTCATGTCATAACTGTAGCATGTCTACATGTGTCTGACCATGTCATAACTGTAGCATGTCTACATGTGTCTGACCATGTCATATTCTACATGTGTCTGGTCATGTCATAACTGTAGCATGTCTACATGTGTCTGACCATGTCATAACTGTAGCATGTCTACATGTGTCTGACCATGTCATAACTGTATCATGTCAACATGTGTCTGGTCATGTCATAACTGTAGCATGTCTACATGTGTCTGACCATGTCATTACTGTAGCATGTCTACACATGTCTGGTCATGTCATAACTGTAGCATGTCAACATGTGTCTGGTCATGTCATTACTGTAGCATGTCTACACATGTCTGGTCATGTCATAACTGTAGCATGTCTACATGTGTCTGGTCATGTCATAATTGTAGCATGTCTATATGTGTCTGGTCATGTCATAATTGTAGCAAAACAAATCTTAACCTGCAAAATCCAAGATGGTGCTGTAAGAGAGATGTATATCAAGATTTTGTAAATCTTACCCGTTTTATTCGAAAGTTGCGTATAGTCAATTGAGCGATCTCCATAGTTGAGTCAAGCCAGATGTGTATGTCACCATGACGAACATATTTCTGCATGCTAAACACATCGCCCCAGTACTTGTCGCATTGTTGCTGTAATAGAAAGAAATGAATCATCAATCCACCATTTCTCATGACCGGTCAGTCTCACAAATACGAAGGAATATAATCTCATTCAAATCATCCATATCTCATGACCGGTCAGTCTCACAAATACGAAGGAATATCATCTCATTCAAATCATCCATATCTCATGATGAGACGTTTAAATCTCGGGATATGTAATCACATTTCACTTAAATCATCCATATCTCATGATGAGTCAATTAAATCTCACAATATGTAATCTTATCTTATTCAAATCATCCATATCTCATGATGAGACGTTTAAATCTCACGATAAGTAATCTTATCTCATTCGAAACATCCATATCTCATGATGAGCTGATTAAATCTCATTGGTAATATGTATATTGATGACTGAAAATGAAAGGGATTATGTAATGTACCAATTATCTGAGATATAAACCTGCCCAGGAGTGATGAGGAGGAGGAATTGTGTAGAAATACAACATAGCAATAACTCTAATTCTTCAAACATTTAACATCACAAGCCCTGTCTGATACTAATCATGCTTTACAGAGGAGGCCCAAAGGATGACTGTGACCTGAGATCTATATATAAAAGACAGTCACTTTGGTTGTGTGACCTAAGATCTATATATAAAAGACAGTCACTTTGGTTGTGTGACCTAAGATCTATATATAAAAGACAGTCACTTTGGTTGTGTGACCTAAGATCTATATATAAAAGACAGTCACTTTGGTTGTGTTACCTAAGATCTATATACAAAAGACAGTCACTTTGGTTGTGTTACCTAAGACCTATATACAAAAGACAGTCACTTTGGTTGTGTGACCTAAGATCTATATATAAAAGACAGTCACTTTGGTTGTGTGACCTAAGATCTATATACAAAAGACAGTCACTTTGGTTGTGTTGTGACACAGAAATCAGAAACAAGTAAGGTTAAACGTGAACTTTCCTTAGGGTTAGAATGCTATAGTTCACAATTTTCGTTCCTGAGTATTTCTTCAAATTTTCCTCAAAATTGCATGGTTAAATGTATTTTGAGAAGACACGGTACATCCAAACATAACTCGTAGCATGCCAAGCACAGACTGATGAGGCTATTTCCAGTATATAATAGCAGTTTGTGTGCTTGTTCCATCATAAGATCAAGGTATATATAGCTGATAATGTGACAATCTTAACCAATATGATTGCCATTAGACTGGTGTTTAGTGTCACAATTTTAAGATAGTTTATAGACTATAACTTACTTGATGATCAGAAGATTCTATAAAATATTTTTGTAATACTGTTTATACTGTAAGAGTATATATATGTTGTTGCCATGGTAGCTGTTTTTGATACGTTAGTTGTTGCCATGGTAGCTGTTTTTGAACCGTTAGTTGTAGCCATGGTAGCTATCTTTGATACGTTAGTTGTTGCCATGGTAGCTGTTTTTGATACGTTAGTTGTTGCCATGGTAGCTGTCTTTGATACGTTAGTTGTTGCCATGGTAGCTGTTTTTGATACGTTAGTTGTTGCCATGGTAGCTGTTTTTGATACGTTAGTTGTTGCCATGGTAGCTGTGTTTGATACGTTAGTTGTTGCCATGGTAGCTGTTTTTGATACGTTAGTTGTTGCCGTGGTAGCTGTTTTTGATATGTTAGTTGTTGCCATGGTAGCTGTTTTTGATATGTTAGTTGTAGCCATGGTAGCTGTTTTGGGTATGTTAGTTGTTGCCATGGTAACTGTTTTTGATACGTTAGTTGTTGCCATGGTAGCTGTTTTGGCTATGTTAGTTGTTGCCATGGTAACTGTTTTTGATACGTTAGTTGTTGCCATGGTAGCTGTTTTGGGTATGTTAGTTGTTGCCATGGTAGCTGTTTTGAACCGTTAGTTGTAGCCATGGTAGCTATCTTTGATACGTTAGTTGTTGCCATGGTAGCTGTTTTTGATACGTTAGTTGTTGCCATGGTAGCTGTCTTTGATACGTAAGTTGTTGCCATGGTAGCTGTTTTTGATACGTTAGTTGTTGCCATGGTAGCTGTTTTTGATACGTTAGTTGTTGCCATGGTAGCTGTGTTTGATACGTTAGTTGTTGCCATGGTAGCTGTTTTTGATACGTTAGTTGTTGCCGTGGTAGCTGTTTTTGATATGTTAGTTGTTGCCATGGTAGCTGTTTTTGATATGTTAGTTGTAGCCATGGTAGCTGTTTTGGGTATGTTAGTTGTTGCCATGGTAACTGTTTTTGATACGTTAGTTGTTGCCATGGTAGCTGTTTTGGCTATGTTAGTTGTTGCCATGGTAACTGTTTTTGATACGTTAGTTGTTGCCATGGTAGCTGTTTTGGGTATGTTAGTTGTTGCCATGGTAGCTGTTTTGAATATGTCTGTTGTTGTTTCACTGTGATCTGTGGTAACTGCCTTGTCTAATACAACTATTACCCAGCAATTCAATTTTGTTTAAGATTTCATGCAAAAACATTGTCCTAGACAAAAAAGAATAAAACAATGATTTTCGTCCAATTCTTTGATTTGATTTCTCCTTTACCAGTTTATTTTGTTAATGTTGTGTTAGCTTGTAAACGTCGGACACTTTAATAGCATCGGTGTGATCCATTAACAGAGTTTTTGATACCACTCAATGGTGTGATTGAGCCTGAATAATCTGTACATGTGTTCTAAATGTAAGACACAACAACAACCAGGACAACAAAAACAACAACAAACAATATCAACTACATTTATGATAAAGAGTGCAGAATATAGTTAGCACGTCCTTTTTAATTTCAAACTTGACAAAGGCCAGTTACATGCTCTATGTAGTAATGATAACTTGGATCATTACACTTTCTTACATGGTTCATCTTGCCTGAAGATGTTGAATTTTACTTGACTTGAAATATTGTTTACATCCAATTATCAATATAGTAGGTAACATGTGTTTTATTGGATGTTTATCTATCGTCTCTGAATCATCCTTATATATAACAGATCCAAAATGGCTACCAGCAGTCCTGGAGAAATGGCAATGACAACCAATTATTAACAGATGGACCACCAATATCATGCCATGTAAATAAAGCTACTTCAAAAGCTGGACATCTGATGATGGTGGGATAGCACTCTTATGTTTAGATAGGGTATCTTTACTACAGTCAGTAGGGTATACAGTCAGTAGGGTATCTTTACTACAGTCAGTAGGGTATCTTTACTACAGTCAGTAGGGTATCTTTACTATAGTCAGTAGGGTATCTTTACTACAGTCAGTAGGGTATCTTTACTACAGTCAGTAGGGTATACAGTCAGTAGGTAGGGTATCTTTACTACAGTCAGTAGGGTATACAGTCAGTAGGATATCTTTACTACAGTCAGTAGGGTATCTTTACTACAGTCAGTAGGATATCTTTACTACAGTCAGTAGGGTATACAGTCAGTAGGTAGGGTATCTTTACTACAGTCAGTAGGGTATACAGTCAGTAGGTAGGGTATCTTTACTACAGTCAGTAGGGTATCTTTACTACAGTCAGTAGGGTATACAGTCAGTAGGATATCTTTACTACAGTCAGTAGGGTACAGTCAGTAGGGTATCTTTACTACAGTCAGTAGGGTATACAGTCAGTAGGTAGGGTATCTTTACTACAGTCAGTAGGGTATACAGTTTACTACTACAGTCAGTAGGGTATACAGTCAGTAGGATATCTTTACTACAGTCAGTAGGGTATCTTTACTACAGTCAGTAGGATATCTTTACTACAGTCAGTAGGGTATACAGTCAGTAGGTAGGGTATCTTTACTACAGTCAGTAGGGTATACAGTCAGTAGGATATCTTTACTACAGTCAGTAGGGTATCTTTACTACAGTCAGTAGGATATCTTTACTACAGTCAGTAGGGTATCTTTACTACAGTCAGCAGGGTATACAGTCAGTAGGATATCTTTACTACAGTCAGTAGGGTATCTTTACTACAGTCAGTAGGATATCTTTACTACAGTCAGTAGGGTATCTTTACTACAGTCAGCAGGGTATACAGTCAGTAGGATATCTTTACTACAGTCAGTAGGATATCTTTACTACAGTCAGTAGGGTATACAGTCAGTAGGTAGGGTATCTTTACTACAGTCAGTAGGGTATACAGTCAGTAGGATATCTTTACTACAGTCAGTAGGGTATCTTTACTACAGTCAGTAGGATATCTTTACTACAGTCAGTAGGGTATACAGTCAGTAGGTAGGGTATCTTTACTACAGTCAGTAGGGTATACAGTCAGTAGGATATCTTTACTACAGTCAGTAGGGTATCTTTACTACAGTCAGTAGGATATCTTTACTACAGTCAGTAGGGTATACAGTCAGTAGGTAGGGTATCTTTACTACAGTCAGTAGGGTATACAGTCAGTAGGATATCTTTACTACAGTCAGTAGGGTATTTTTACTACAGTCAGTAGGGTATCTTTACTACAGTCAGTAGGGTATACAGTCAGTAGGATATCTTTACTACAGTCAGTAGGGTATCTTTACTACAGTCAGTAGGGTATACAGTCAGTAGGATATCTTTACTACAGTCAGTAGGGTATACAGTCAGTAGGGTATACAGTCAGTAGGATGTCTTTACTACAATCAGTAGGGTATCTTTACTACAATACCAGTTTTTCTTGAAAATCTTATACTGTACAAATTGTAGAAAGTACCAAATTCTCTACACATCTGGTGTGAATGTAGATAATTACATTAAAACCAGGTTTACAACAATGTTTTCTATCAATTTTTGTTATAAACCTTGGGTATAAATAAACAGCTGACCTATGGTAAATGTCGACACTAATATTCTGTTGTTCATGCTTCATCATTTAATCAATATTAAAATATTGATTATTAAATTTCCTACCAAATGTTGTGTGAAGTATGTACTGCCATATGCTGCAGATCAGGAAATTAATGCTTAAAATTCTCAAACATTCTAACACAGAATAGTTATTTATATAAGGTACATCCTAGATATTTAGTATCAATCAAATTTT